AACTATCTAATTATCCAACATAATCTGGAATGATTGGTCGAAAAGAAAATTTTGCTTTGAAACACAAGCTATCGCAATTTGAAATTATAAATTTTCAAAACTATACTTCAGCAGGCAAAGCAACACATACCAATATCGAACAGAATAAGAACAACAATTTGTAATCAATTTAATATGATCACAAGCTGAGACGATCATAGACTTACCATTGGGATTGGTCGAGTTTGYTCGTGCGTCCTCTGATTCTTGAGAGTAAGAAAGTCTACTCGTCCCTCTGCAAATTTAACAGCTGAAAACAAGAAAAGGGGACAACAATCAGAACAATACTTAAGCTTAAGATAACCGACCAAAAAGTACATATTAAGGACAGGTACTTGATCGATTTTACCATTGGGGGGTTGATCGTAATCCTCAAAATTGGAAAATACTACAGTGCCCCGAATGCATTATTTCTGTACGGAGGTTCGAACTAAAAACTTCATTAAAGTGATATCAATATGTTGTTCATMGCCCAGATTCTCCAGTTCCTTGGACAACAACTTCTTGTATAAACCATTTTTACATAATTAACGGTAAGTTTATTTTCACTTGAACTAATCTTCCAATAATTATTAAGAATCAAAACATTTAGAAATGCATAAAAAACGATCTTAAGTGTCGCATAAAAAATTAATACAAGCATAGTCGATAAACAGATTCAAGGCGCCACGATACGAGCCAAAAAAATCTATCAGAGTTATCGAAATCATTACCGCCGGACATCGGCAGTGATTGGAGACCTCCCAGATTGATCAATAGATGAAAAGAGATTGAAATTCTGGCGAGTATTCTCTCATCCAATTTCCAATGATCCTGTTCAATGTGAACAATGTAGCTTCACTGTGAGAAACAATAAAACCCTAATTCAAAAAAAAATCCGAAAATGGAAGATGAAATACCTTATACCTGGGAGGGAAACCACGAGAGAACACAAGAAACGTCATCTTGCAATGCAGAAGAATCACAATGGCATTGGAATTCCGGTAACGCAACATTGTATTTACAGACTGCATCCGAGAATGATACAAAAACCCTAAAAAACCCCTAGCGAGAGAAAACTGGGAATCTGAGCTTGAAACAGAGAAGATAACCGACGAGAAACTGAGGAAACGAAGCCATCGAAGAAGGCGGGGAAATGTATGAAAGAGAAGTAATGAAAATTTCGCTATTTATAGAAACGGGTATTTGCGTACGATRTACGCTACACGGACTGTACACGGTTTCGATCATGGGCTTCAGTTTAAAGCCCAACCAGAGGCCCACGTTACGAAGTTGTCCAGATCAGTTTCTGGGCTTGTTATATCCATTCGGCCCACTAGACAAAAGAAATAATATCTAGAAATAATAAGCAAAATGTCAATTTACCATTCTACCCTCACTTATGACATGATATTACCATTTGTTCCCACGTCTTCTAGTCATTTTCTAGTCATTTAAATTACAAGTTTAGTCCGAACTTTTAAATTCGTGTCTAATATGTTCATAAATTTTAAAATCTGTCTAATAGATTTAAATTTTAAATTTTGTGTATAATCCTAAACTTTAAATATGTATGATAGATTTTCAATTTTGTGTGGATAGGTTTGTGATATATTTAACTTTTTTTTTTATTAATTCAATGAATGCATTAGATATAAATGGAATTGTTTGTATTGTATAATAGGACCATAAACCTTCAATATTGTGTTTGGTAAGTTTATGAATTTGTAAAAACGACGATTAGGTTAGAGATCTATTAAATACAATTCAAGTTTAAATATCTATTAGACACGTAATTAAAACATTTTAAAGTTCATATATGTATTAGATACACAATTGAAAAACCAGTGACTTATTATAATACTTTTTAAAATTCAATGAACGGACGCATATCTAAAAATTCATGGACTAAAACTTCTAATTTAACCTTTATTTTTATTTATGGTTGGATATGAGATATTAATTGACCTGTCGATATGTCCATATTGATAGAAAGTTGAATTTCTATGATAAAATATAGTTGTCAACCTTTTCGTTCACGTTGATATTTAAAACTTCTTTGAATCTTCATTAATTTTGCTCGGGAATCCTTTTTTTTTTATAAGAAACATAGAAGATGTATATTAATCACAAAAATAACAATTTAAGGGCAAGGGACAGAGGAAATCCCTTTTCGAATGAAGCTACTTTCAATTTTGAATGATAGAACAAAGAGAGTAATCACAAAAGAATTTGCTAAAACTATAACACCACTTAGAAGTAGTAAGCGGTACGTTAAGAGCTGTCCTCAAAAGTTCTACGATTTCTTTTCAACCACACGTTCCACAACATCGCTACGACAAAAAAAAAAAAAAAAAAAACCCACAGAGATCTTTTAGCATTTTATAACTACCACGGTGAGAGCTTGAATGAACCAATCATGCTCTTGGGGGTACATATGCTAATCTTGGACAAATAATAAACTTGGTACCAGCACTCGTAAGCTATCAAGTAGTGTATAAACAAGCGAAACAGAAGGAGGAACATTTTATTTGGAGTTAATTCCGAAGTCGGCGAACCAGCGACCAAAGGAAGACTTTTTATCTTCTTTGAAAACTTGGACTTTTGAATTGCCTTAAGGAGGAGAAATTGAAGAACCTTACACGGTTCGAGAGGTTTAAATAGGTGGATTTAGTGGTGAAGGTTCTAGAAGCGTCGATATTACATTTCACCCCGACTCTAGAATTCCCCAATCTAACTGAATCAAGCTGATTGATCAGCCCAAAAAAATCTTACAATTTTTAGAAATGGTTTACATCATAATATTTCATATATGTTTGAGTAACGCTCAAAACTTTACCAAAAAATGAGAATTTTCAAACATCATAAAATATGGGCATTTGCTGGTGAGTTCTAAGAATAAGAGGCTGAGGTATTGGGTTTTGTTTTTCTTTTGGTGGGGACGGGGGCGTCATTTTCAACTTACGACTGTTTCCCATTTTGTACATAACCTTTAATCACAACCACCGGTAGCAACACCACTCGCTCACAACGGAAGCATTTAGAAATTTATGGTTCGTTTGGTAACGTTCTCGTTTCTTATTTTTCGTTTCTAATTTTATAAATAATTCTAACATTTGATAAACTATTTATGTTTCTTATTTCTCATTTTTTAGAAATAATCTCAAAATCGAATAAATATTTTGGAAACAACAGAAGCAAATTTCTTGTTTCATTTTCTAATTTGTTCAAACATAAATAAAGATTTTGTTTTATCATGTATTCATACATGAGTGTTGAGACCATGCAATCCTATTTTTCTTTATTTAAAATAGAACAAACAGAAACAAGAAACAAAAACATTACAAACGAGCCTTCAATGTCCTAACAAATTTTCCTAAGATATTTATAGACAATTCAATATCTGACATAAGAGACCTATCCTCAAAAATCTTCCTAAGATATTTATGGATAATTCAATATCTGACGTAAGAGACCATTCTATGCTTTTATCATACCATAAAATATAGCTCGAATGATAAACATTGCCAACTTATTCGAAAACAGGAAATGCTTATTTGTTTGATTCATTGAATTGCTTCATTTTCATGATCTTTTCACTAATATTTGTCAACACTAATATCTACAAGATTTGGCATATAAAAACTTCTCTGGTCACTGGTCAACATCTTGGCTATCCATTTCTCTATCTTTTTTTTTTTGTAACTAGGAGTTGGAGCTTTGATCCCCTATACCCAGTGGCACCCATCCCAAGGCTCGGACCCAGGAGACATCAAGGATTTTTGGTATGAAGCTTACCGAAATATTTACCAAAATATTCGAAGTTGAGACCTCTAAACCAAATACCGCAAGCTCTTACCAACTGGAGTGCCATTGGAAGCAACATATTCGTTATCCAACAATTTAAGTATCATATCACTCGTCTACAAACAGAACTTTTTAGCAGCAATATTCATAAGATTGAATCAAAATGAACCAAGACAGAGTATATTTTGTTCAATAGACAGATGGAATCAGAATGAACTAAGACGAGTAAATTGGAGCCAACAAAGTACAAAGCACACTCCATGCCAACCAGGCAAAGAGCTCAATATAGAACACATGTGTGAGTATTAGCAAAATTTCCATCCATTTACAGATGTAAGTACTCATGGTAAGTTGTGGTGCAGACAACTCTAAGCTAGGGTATACAACAATAAGTTGTAGATTTACCTAGAACAACAATATACATTGTTGCTGTACCACGACGAACTCGTCGCGACAAAATACGAGTAACTCCAATTAACAAATCAAAGAGTAACCATAAGAAGTAATTGCAAAATCCTATGTTAGAATTCACTTATTGTATAATTGAATGTCGAAATCATTGTGAATGATAGAACCAGAGAAACCTATGTAAAGTGTCTCGAAATGATTTGGAATTACCTCTCTAGTTAAAGAGACAGGCCCGATCTCCCATCATCAGGCTCCTTGTATAAAGTTGCCCTGTAATTAGAACTTGCCTCTTCACTTTCAGGACAACCTGGTCTTTCAGTAAGAAACTGTTCCCAGAAGAAATCATTGGCTCTAACAGGAGCGGCTGCGGCTGCGGCTGAGGGCCCATGATGGTTACTTAGGTTCTCTTGGGGACAAAATGGCGTTGTTCTTTCATCAAGATTTATGTTCTTAGTGAAGAGTCTCATGTCTGCTTCTTTTCCATTTGAATCTGGAGACTTTCGAGCAGTCTGACCCAGTTGTGGCATTCTAACTGAACAAGCAGTGTCGTTGACGCGCAGGGAAGAAGATGCAAGAGTGAGATTTAAATGACAGGAAATGTGACTTTCTCCATCTTCTTTGGAACTAGCACTTGGTTGCGACAGACGTGGGCTCTCGTCGTTAGGCGATTTCCCTGACAAAGATGAATCCCTCTTCAATATAAATGATGTCCCAGTGTCTGAGAGATCTAATGTTTCGGTTGCAAAATGAAGATTCTCTTGGACGCCTCTAGTATCTATTTTTGACATATTTCTTTGTGAACTTCCCCCTTCTTCGTTTGAACTCTGGGTGCTACATGAAATTAAGTTAACATCCGAGACGGTTGATGATTCTAACCTCAGCTTATGTGAGAAATCCTGATGAAAAATATTGCCAGACTCAGACCTGGAACTGCTATGGTTGTCCAAAAAACTATTTTCAATGAGTGGCTGTGGATGATCAGCTTGAGGCAGTCGTCTCTTTTTGTTAAATGCTGTGAAGTCCATAGACTCGACTCTTCGAGCAAGATGTTCAACAAAAGATGGGTTTTGAACAGCCTTTTCTAGAAATGCCAATAAACTCTTCTGCCTTTTTTCCATGCTTTCCACCTTCACCGTTAGATCTCGCACCTGATGTTTAGCAGTGGATTTTTGCTGTTTGAACCTTGAGATATTAGCTTCAAGTGTAGCCTTTTCACGTGATAGCCTCTCTATTTCATCTTCAAAAGCAGCTCTTTCTGGATCTACAAGAGATCCTTGAGGATTACTGTGACTATGAATTGGTTTCCGACGATGGATGTTCTTTAGTAGATGCTTTTGATCCTTTATGAAGTCTTCGTTAGCAAATTCCCATCTCTCAGAATCAATCTTCCGAAACCCCTGCCACCAAAATTAAAACTTGTGAGTTTTGGCTACTTTTTAATACCGTTTTCACTTCAAAATTTGGAAACGAGAGAATATGATAGTTTTCTTATAAAATGTGGTCTACAATATTGATCATTCAAAAGACTCTAGGATATAGGAATGATCATAACCAGCACATAATGACCATACAGATGCAACGAAACCATTTATGTACCACCCTTCGAACCAATTCCACCCATAGTTCTTCCTTTACATGTTCATGAATCGCATAATAATAAGTTGGGAGCGCAAATGGAAGTGGAGAGAATTATTTAGTAGTAGCTCAACTAGAGAGAGATCTGAGTTGCTTGAGCCTTTCCAGAATTCTTCCCTCGGAGATCGAGTTAATTTTTCAAAGAAACCGATATAAGAATCTCGAAGCATAAAAGAACAGAATTAACAAACGAAATTACATTCATCAACAAAACACGTGGGTTCGTAAATAGTTAAATCATGAATTGAAGCTCGTAAATACTGAACTATAAGGAATTGCTGCAAGCCATGAGACGAATGCATAAACACATATATACATATCGTCCTAATGAGGTAAACAACAATAAGAAAATCATAATTACGCAATAAGGAACATGCTCCGTCTCCAATTAACAGGAGGAACAAAATCAAGTCACGGAAACGCCAAAATTACCCTCGAGATGAGAATTTCCGGAAACTTACATAGGTATTAAGCTGCCGAATGAAGCTGGAGAAGTTATTATGCTTGAAATACGTAGGAAGAAGAAGGCGAGCGAATTCAGGAGGATTCCAGACCACGAAGCTCTTGTTCGAAGAGGTCCAGGATACGATCGAGTCCGTGGCCGAGTCGTCCACCATGTCGTATGTCTTTATGAGAAACGGCGCCGGACCAGCACCGCCGGCGCCTCCGCCTCCAGCAGCTGCCTCCATTATCCTTGAACGACGGCGGACCAGGATCAGGATCTGAAACAATCGGTGGAAGCGGGAGAGAGAGATTTGGAGATGAAAAATTACGCGGAGGATATGGTGGTGGTAAGAATTGGTGTGAAATCGACAGGTAAGGTAAGGTTCGTGTTCTTGTTCTTCCAGAGATTGACTTTGCTCCACCCGCTTCTTCGCCGTTCTCTTTTTTCTTCTCTCGTTTTTTTTTTCACGAACAAATATAAAATAAAAAGATGAAAAAAAATATGACCGTAAATTTTCAACGAGAGGGGTTGTTGGTTGGAGACTTTGGGAGACTTTTTTTTTGGTTAAGTCGTATTCTTTATTTAATTTTATTACTTTTATTTTGATATTGTTGAGGTGTGATTTTATCTAAAGTGAAACTTTTTGACAAGATAATTTGTACAGATATCTACGTCCAGTATTCATTCTAATGTTTGAATTATTAATTTATTACATAAATTAATGTAGTGTCGAGTCAAGCAATACTAATGTTGAGTATCCATTCTTTAGGAGATTTTACTATTTATAGAGAATCTCGAGATTTGACTCATGTACCTAAACAGTTTTTATTTGCCCCTGAGCACTTAGCTTACGTAAAAGTAGTAAGTTAGGGTGGCAAGGTAGATGTCGAGGCGGATCGTAAGTTTGCAAATTTTGTAACTGTGGTTGAGGTGGATGATAGATGTCCAATGGCACAACTTTTAGCCAGTTTGGCAACTGTATGGTAGATGTCGATGTGGGTTACATGTCGGCGATCTTTTTTGTTTGATGGCAGTCAAGGTGTTATCCACCTCGCTCTCGCATCCTCATCTCGAACTTTTATATATCCACAATCCAGTCAATCCATTAAAGAGCCAAGCTAGATGTAGATTTAAGGTGGAGATAACTAGCATAGATACATACATCAGTGTAGTGTTCATTCTGGTGTTTTAATTATTAATTTATTACTTAAACTAAGGTAGTGTCGAGTTGAGCAATACCAATGCTGAGTGTCTATTATTAAAGAGACTTTGCTATTTATATAGAATCTCGGGATCTGACTCGTGTACCCAAGCGATTCATATTTGCTCCGTAAAAGTAGTAAGCTATGATGATAATGTAGGTGTCAAGGTGGATCACATGCTCACAAATTTCGTAATGGTGGATGAGATGGAACACCTTGGCATCCAATCAACCACTACACAAGCTCGACTATATGTCAGATGGCAGGTGGCGCAACTTCTAGTCAGGGTGGTAATTGTATGATAGATGTTGAGGTGGGTCACAGGTCGATGATCCTTATTTTTTTATGGCAGTCAATGTGGTATCCACCTCGCCGTGTACTTTGTTAATATCCACACCATCCAGTCAACCCCTTAACGAGCCCATCTAGATGTAGATTCAAGGTGACATAACTTTTAGAGTTATATATACCTAGTCAACGAGTTTTAAAGTATTCAAACTACACCCTTAAGATTTAGATTCCACATATGACATGTCCCCACTATTAACCCATCAAATATAATGCTTGGTAACACTTTGTTTTTCCCACCCTCCCACCCTTATTTCATCCACCCACCTTACTACGTTACA